CCATCCAATTGTATGGCTTCTTCCTCTCTAAGGAAATCAATTTAGTAAGTAAATACTTAGCTCTCTTCAAAAACACAGGCTTTGTAAGGAAGCCACAAGTGGCCCTTGAAGACTGTCTAGAGAGTAAAAGGGTAAAATGGAAATCTGTATAAAATTCACTAATCGGCCGGCTCATAATTATAACAGTACTATGACTACTAGAACTGAGTTCTTAAAATTGCCAGAAAAGTAAACCCAATTTTCCTTTATTAAAAATCAAAGTCACGATCTTATATGCTAAAGTAAGGACTTCGAAACTGTCACTAAGATCCAAGAAGTCAAGTTTTAAAACACTGGGCAATTCAGTATCCACAAAGACAAAACCCACTGCAAGTCTTGTCTAAGGTTCTGAAGAGTTTATGGCACAGCTATCAAAACAGTTTTTACAAAATTCACTGCAGGCTGAGCGGTTGTTGGGGGTTGAACCCAAGACCTTGGGCCGCTAAGCAAGCACTCTACCCTCGGGCTTCGTCCCAACCCCACCGATCAGTCATTCCCAGGGGTAAGTTGGGAACTAGAGGAGATACTGGCTTGCACAAAACTCCACCCCGGTAGAGTTTCCGCTCATATTTAAATACCGGACGTCCCAAGCCGGAGCCTGGAGAAGAAACAAAGGAGGAGCTACCGTACCCGCGGCCCTACCGATACAGTTTCAAGGGAGCACAGACCTCTGCACGACTTCATCGTCGGTCCTTGAGCCTTCCCTGCTTTTCCCCAGGTCCTCTTCCACGGTTCCGTCCACATCGACTTCATCGTCAGCTCTGACCGACCCTGAAGATGTAACACGGCAAACGTGATCGCTGCGCCCTCGACTTCGCGGAACGAACCCGATCAAACAGGGCAAGGGCGGCGGTTGCAAAGTTCAGCGGGTAAATAAGGGAGGTGGAGTGCAGGGGACGCCCCGGAGTCAGCCACGGCGCGCCCCCGCGCAGCCCTCCGGCCCCGCGCACCCGGGGTCGGACTGGTCTACACCCGCACGTGTTGCGCGCAGCCCGGGCTCCGAGCCGACCGCGCCAAGCTCGGGCCTCCTTCCAGGGGGCGGCGTGCAGGCGGTGCTTTGCGGCTTCTGGCGAGGGGATGAAATCGCGTCCCGGGGTCGGAGACGGGGAACGGGCACTTGGGCTAGAGCTGCGGCCCTGCTGACCCCAACAGGCCGCCGCCGCCGCGCGCGTGTCCCCGGGCCCGCGCTCCCACGCGCGCTCGGGGGAGCCGGGGTCCCCCGCTCGCAGGGTCAAAGGGCGCGGCGGCCGACACCCGCCCCGCGGGAGGCCACCCCGCGGCCGCGACCCGGGGGTTTAAATGACCGCAGTGTCTGCCTACCTTCCCCAGCCTTTTTCGAGGAAAGGTGATGTCCCCTGGCGCCCCGCAGGCTCCAGGGACCCCCCTCCCGGGATCGACGCCCCCGGAACCTTCGAGAAGCGGCCGCGCCGGAGGAGGGGGGCGGCCGCTCACCGGGATCACTCACCGAAGGTCAGCAGGACGCAGCACAGGCCCAGCACCCACAGGGCCCTCATGGCGCGCGGCCGGTGGGTCTCACGTTCCTTGTGATCGCAGGAGCCGCCTCCGCCCTCAACCGGGCCTGTGATCCTCACACCTCCAGCAGCTCGATCCGCCCCCTACACCCCAAGCAGGCCAGGCCGCTTTTCACCCCCACTTGTCGCGGGCGGGGGACGGGAAACACGAACCCACCAATCGCGCCGCACCACGCACCCTCTGTACCCAATGGAAACGCGAAGGGGAGGGAACCGCAGTTCGCCAATCGGAGCTCTCCAGGTGCGGTAGCCGATGCCCGAAGCGTGGCTCCCTCCGATTGGTCTCGTGTAGCAGCTTTTGTCCAATCACATGGCACCGCGGGTGCCTCACACGCGAGACCGCCCCTTTGCCTGGGAAGTCTTGTCCGCTAAGGGAAGCCGTCCAATTAACGTAAGCGCGCAGCACGTCCATCCTTTGACAGAGGTTGCTGCGGAACCGCTTCCGGATCCTAGAGAGCGTTTATTCTGTGACCAGGGGATACAGTAGCCATGGCAACGCAGTTTCTACTCCTCCCCCAGTCTATGCTTGGGATCTATGCTTGCGATCACATTGAGAGTCATCCCTGAGCGAAGTTTGCAGTGTCCTTTCTGTTTGGTGGTGCACCTCCGAAAAAGACGTGTCGGTTTGAGACTCCCTCGCAGAGCCTTTTTTGGGCCGAGGTGTGTGTGTGGGGGGGGAACTACAGTTCCCGGCATGCAAGGGCGAGCGCCGCATTGAACGCTGGGAGTTTCTGGCCCGGGGCCCGCTGCCCTGTCAGGATCTTGCACGTTCTCCTGCGTGTTTGGGGGACTCTGTCCTGCATGTTTTAGGGTTTACACTTTGTTCTGACTGCAGTACAGAGCTGTGGTATTCCTGCATCCTCCAGGCTGCACAGCTTTTAGGAGCGGGCCTAGAAGGCGTCCGCGCCTCGGCCAGGGCCACCGTGTGCTGGACGCCGGCCGTGCAGTCTGGGCCTCCGGCTCGCGACGCGCGTTTCCCAGTCGGGCTTCTCGTGCGTCACCGAGGGCGCCCGCCCCTTCGCCTCTGCGCGCTCCCCGCCGGAATGCCCGCGCCCCACTGCTTTGGAGGGAGATCGCAAACGACTGTGATGCCTTTGACTCCCGTAGAGCACCAAGGGGGCGCCTGGCGACCCCCGAGCCGCCGCCGTGGACCGGGCGGAGAACTCGCGGTCCGGTGCGGTGTAGCACGGGAAGGGAGGGGCGCAAAGCAAACCTGGGTGCTGCAAACGAGGTTCAGATCGCAGCCTGGTGACTTGTTAGAGATGCCCTGCCCGGCTTCAGCAGGGCGCTCAGCGCGCCAGGTGCCCTCCCCGTGAGGGGAGACCGTCGCGCGGAGCTTGTGCCTTTAAAATAGCTTCTGGCCTCTTCAGCTTGGTTCTCGTGGACTCCCCGCCCGCGCACAGCTCTCTGACGCGCACACCTTTGTTACTGCCTGCAGGAGGGAGCTTTGATTTGCTTTCCGAGAATCATCAGTATTCCTGAAGACAAGCTTTTCAGTGACACTCTGTCGCAGTCTTTTACAACTTCCCCTCTTTAGGTTTGCTTCATCTTGAGTCTGTGGTCGCGTTTACATATTGTGGCGGTGCCTTATTTAGATCTGCCTGATTTACCTGCTTTGTTATTCGTAAGCAAACTTACACAGCAGGTTGTATGCTTCTGTGCTTGCATTTAAAAAAAATAATAATAGGGTATCTTAGGGTGTTAACTACATTCAGAAATCTCAATTACATCTTTGTTTTAACTAGTTTATTTTTAGAGAAAGCTGAGGTCCTTCACTTTTCTGCATTCGACGTCTCCACCGTTTCTCTGGTTCCGAAAGCGCGAACGCCGCCGTAACTGGCCGGGCGGTGTGTGGTGCTGCACCTGGAGGGAACTGAGAGTGAGCCTTGCCCTCCAAAATAGACCTGCTGCTTGTGGGAGACGTTTCTGCACATGGTGGGGCTCACAGTGAGGCAGAGCACGAAACGCCGCGCTGCCGAAGGTGGCTGGGCATCTCTGACTCAGCTCTGCCCCTTGAACAAGACAACAAGAGCCGTGGCCCAGCAGCCTCTTAAAGTGGGCAGTTATGAGGGTCCTAGGCCTGCGGTTCCTTCCCTGTGTTCTCTTCACCTCTTCTGACTTTTGGTCTGTCACTGTTTTCCCAGAACAGACAGTCCAGACGGTTAGTAAGCTCCCCACCTTGGGATCTGATTCTCCTGTTTCCTAATTTTTTGTCTTTGACACCATGTTCCCAGGGCTGCTACTGGAAATGATATTTTGTTGTTGTATTTTTCTTTTCTTCCTTTTTTTTTTTTTTTTTTTTTCTTTTTTTTTTTTTTTTTTTTTTTAGGCAATGTCTCACTGTGTAGTTCAGGCTGGCCTTGAGTTCACTATGTAGCCCAGGCTGGCCTCAAACTCGAGGTGATCCTCCTCCTGCCTCAGCACCTGCGTGCTGGGATTACAGGCGTGCCCCGCCATAACCCGTATTATGCTGCTTCTTCAGCATATCTAATGCAACCAAACAGCACCTTCTCTTGCAGCTAAACTTGGAAGGAAAAATCAGATAAGCAGAGATGCAGTTAGGGGCCACATACCGCTGTTTTGATAGGGTATAGGTGTAGTAGGGCGCGAGGGAGGAAACAGACCGGGAGACCAAGGCAGGAAAGCTGTTGGCCTCAGGGAGCATCGAGGAATGAGGTAGACTTGGAGAAGCATTGGCTGATTGGTTCCTTCACTCATCGTTCAGCAAACATCAAGGACCAGGTAGACTCCAGGAAACACGAAGATGACAGTACACAGTAGATACGGTCTCTGTTCTTACAGGACTTGAGCCAGTAGTAACGATGGAGTTGCACCATAAGTGTGAGTGTTTTATTTAAAATGAAGTAAAGATGTGAGAGGACACCTGCAAAGGAGGAGCACCAGGGAAGCTTTCCAGCTGCTAGAAACGCCCTTAGTCTTGAGATGGGCTGTGGTTACAACTCATCAAACTGCACTTGAAAAGGGCGAACTTTTCAATGTACAAATTACACCTCAGTTAAGGAAAAATAACAGCAACTGTCCTTCTGTACAATAGACCTTAAATACCGTTTTAGTAAGAGTCAGGAGCTAGATAGATGTGTTCACTGTAGTCAGTCCCATCTCATGCTCTTTAGGAGAGTCTTAACAGTAAGAAAATGAATTGGTATACATTTTAGAAAAGTCAAAATCCTTTATTTTGAACTTTTATCTTATCAGTGACCTGATTACATATCTGAGAAACCCAAGAGACTCTAAGTATACAGAATGAATAGGAGAATCTGGCAAATGGTTGAATTTAAAATAAATATAAGTCCGGGCACGGTAGCGCATGCCTGTGATCCCAGCTACTGGGGAAATAAGCAGGAGGATTACAAAGTTGGAGGCCAGCCTAGCAAGACCCTGTCTCAAAATAAAATAAATCGATAAATCAGTAGGGCTGGGATGTAGCTCAGTGCTCCCTGAGTTCAGTCCCTGCCAAAGAAAAAAATTCCAAATCCTTAAATCTACAAAAGTCAATAGTCTCGCTCTCACCTTGCAAAATAACACATAGCAATGTAGATTTTTCAAACTTTCATTCATGTTAGAGGCAAACCCCATAAGATATTTAGGAATAAACTTACAAAACACATCGTGCCAACGTGAGGATAGTTACAGGTACGGAATGACGTACAGTATGTAGAACAATGAACCTGGGCTGAGGTCATGCCCTGCGTGTTCCCCACTGCTGTGTAACAAGAAAAACTGAGCAGCTTAGGACTCTCTTGTCCCACACCGTCTGAGATCAGGGACCCGGGCGCACTCTGCTGGGTAGCCCTGGCTCGGAGCTGCTCACCAGCTTGCCACCCAGGTGTTGGCTGAGACTGAAGTTCCCTGGAGGCTGGGCTGGGGTGACGGGATGTGGCGAGGTCACTTGGCCAGCTTGGCGGGAGACCCCAGTCTCTCACGTGGCATGTGGACCTCTCCAGGGGGCTTCTGGCTCCCTCTGGCTGAGCGGTGGAAGGCACAGAACAAGGCGGGAGACACAGTGACTCGTAGCCAAGCTGGGAACCCCACGGCGTCACTGCCTCGGGGCCAGAGGATCTCACCGGGGCATGGATGCCAGCGGCAGTTGGAGCCCACTGAGGTCAGTTTGGAACCTGGCTGCCCACACACCCTGGTTTCATGGGAAACTAGGAAAAGTTTGACGTGGGATTTCCAGCTTCTCTCCAGAGAGGTGGCTCAGAGTTCTAATGGGGATTTCTCCAGATACAGGCCAAGGATCCAGTTGCCACGAGGAAGGGTAAAAACCACTGTGCGACTGAACGTGCAGTCGGTGCCGCAAAAGGTCCAAGTTCTGCTTGTGCCACACGCGCGCTGAAGCCCACACTGAACCTTTCTTACACCCCAGGCCTGCTGGCGTCAGTTTAAAATCGTCCCATGTCGTTTCTGATGGAAAAACCCACAAAACTGCTGCAATTCTTATGTTTGTTTTCCTGTGGAATGTGACTATGTCTTATTTTCTTATTTTCCTCTTTTTTTAAAAAAATGTGTATTAGTATGGCTTAAGTTTAGCTGAGATACTTGACTTGTTGGTATAATGTCTTTCATTATTTTTCGAATATTCCTAGCCATTGGTCTTCAGATATTTCTTCTGCTTCACAGCTCCCTGTTTTCTTCCGGCTGCTCCCATCGCATTCCTGCTGGCCGGGGTGAAGTGTTCCCACAGCTCTTGGATACTAGGTGGCTTCTCCCCTCTCTTTTCCCTGTTTGTGCTATGGATTTCTACTAATTCCTCATGTTTGATTTTTTTCTAGTATATCTGTTTTATCCTTTAGTATAGTTTTCATTTTTGTTGAATTTTTACATCTATTTATGATATTCTACATCTTTACCATTGGATTATTTTTACCCTACAAACCCTAGCTACTTCAGGCTTATCTGAAAGGTGCAATTTCTCCGTCATGTCTGAGTGTGGGTCTCTTGTTGGTAAATCTATTGACAAAGGATGTGGTTGTTTTAAATCGCATTTTTATGTGCCTTGTGATTTTTAAATTAAAATCTAGGCTTATGAAAACCAGTTGAGGCTGAGAGAGCCGGGGTTCACCTCTGGAGAAGCTGCCTCCTTCTTCTCACTCTGTTAGAGCAGGGGCTGAGGCATCGTCGTCAGGAACTGAGCAGGCTTCAGCCTGCGCTCAATGCCCTGTGGTGTGAGGGCGCCTCCGAGTGCCCTGGTGCTGGGCGCTGGCACCCTGGGCAGGTGGGTGGAGACTTAGGGAGCTCTCCTCAGTGTCCCTGTCACTCTCACCTTCCCTCTGGCCCTGCATGCTCCACTTCCCGCGCTCCTGCTCTTCCCACAGGGGCCTGCTGTCCGCGGTCACTCAGGGCTGGGCTCTGCAGCTAGGAGAATTCTCTACTGTCTCTGTAACTCAGTCTGTCTTTGTTCCTTTTCTCATTGCTGAGACAAAATACCCGACACCCAAAGTTAAAGGGGGAGAGGTTTATTTAGCTCACAGTTGGTAGAGGTTTCAGTCCATAATCAGCTGGCACCGAGGCAGGGTGGCACCTGCAGAGGGACAGCCGTCTGTGGAAGTGGAAGACAGCAAAAGCAACAAAAAATAAGACTCTTACTGTTCCCTATATTATATGCAGGCTACCCATCCTAGTGTGGGTGTAGCACCCACCTGCCCCTTTTTTTCGAGATGGGATCTTGCTATGTAGTGCAGGCTGGCCTTGAACTCTCATATGCAGTCCAGGCTGACCTCAAGCACGTGGCAATCCTCTTGCCTCAGCCTCTTGAGTGCTGGGATTATAGGCGTGTACCACCGCTTGAGGCCTAGCACTCACGCCTACGGAGAGCCCTTCCCAATCTTCCTCATGGCCCAGGAAGTTTATATTTGTAATCTCATGAAAAGTTACTGGAATTCTAGTGAATTAATTCCAGTCTACCACTTCCAGTGCAACCCATGATGAGAATGCACTAAGGCATATTTGTAGTTATGGGGAGCCAAGGAGTCCAAGGTCCACCCATGATGATGGCTATCTGGGACAGAGGCCTGTACCCAGGACCGAACCAAGATTTTATTCATTTGTGAAGAAGGGAGTGGCTTGAGGATGAGTGACTGTGAGAGTGGCGGGAAATACTTGAGTGCCATGAGCAGGGGGTCGGGGAAACACGCCTGCCATCTCCAAAGATTACCATCAGCACCTTGGCTAGACCGCTATGCATTGCTTAAAGCCAATAGAAGGGATAAGGAAAAGTCCTAGCCAGCTCAGCACATGTCAGTACATGGAAATAGGATCAGGCTCAGCCAATACGGATGCAATTGCTCCTTGTTTAATGAGAATCGCCTGGGTGGTCCTCCACATACACCCTTCATCCTAGCCAGAGCTATGCCAAACCAATCAGGGGGCTGATTTAGTAATCACATACCGTTAGCTCTAGCATCGGCCCCATGACTGCGTGAGGCTTTGGGGGAACATCTAGACAGAAACCGGAAGACAATCTCAGATCGGCCTGGGTGCTCTGGCTCTGTGGTAAGGCTCTTCAGCACTTCTGCCCCCGTCCTCTGGCAGCCTGGCGCCTTTGTGTGTGTGTGGTCCTTTGGGGACAAGGGTCCTGCCTTCCAGGAGGCTGTGTCTGCCTGTGCTTGGCACCAACACGGGGTCCTGGAGAAGACTGGAGATGGTTTTCTTTGAGCGCTGAGGCTGACAGGGCTGCTGCTCTTCTGTTTGGGGGCCTTTGCTTGGGAGGAGAGAAGAGTCTGGGACGGGGCAGGGCCCCAGCCTTCCGGACACCCCCGTCACCCCTGCACCCCACACCACCACAGGGAGCCTGTCTTCCCCACCCTGCTGTTTCTCCCCAGTGGGGAAGAGCTTTCAAGTGCAAACTCTTCCTTATGGTACAGCCGCCAGCTGCTCAGACCCCCAGGAGCCCACGCTTCATTGGGGAATTCATTAGAATTGAGAATTTTCATTGGCGTCTTCCTGCTCCGGCTCATGGTCACTCCTTCCTCTGCCCCGAGTGTGTGCCTTCTCTCCTCAAAGGGACTTTTCCTTCCTTTGAATCCAGGTTATGTTTGCGCTCCGATCAGCTCAAGGACATTTTCGTTTTCTGGCTTGCCTGACTTTTGTCAGTGTTCGGGTGGTTGGGGCAGACTTCTGCGTGATTGCATCCCGAGCAGGAAGGCTTTTAATAAACAAGGTATCGCAGTGTGTTCGCACCCTCTGGACGCAGGTCCTGCAGCAGCCTCCGGCCGGGCCTCTGTGCAGAGACGGACGGCATGACCACATGGGTGCCTCCTGCTTCCTTCTGCCAGGGACCACCCCATGCCCAGTGTGCGCGACCAGCCGCTTCATCGATCTCATCCACTTTTCTAACTTCCAGCAGATGGTAGGCAAGTCCCGCACCTGTTGACCTATTGTGACGGAAGCAGAAATCCATCATTCTATTTTAATAGACGGACTGCCAGCTATGAGTAGTTAGAATGTTACTCCTCATTTCTTTAGCAAAAGCCATGTAGTTTGCTTGCTTTCCTTTATTCCTTTTTTTTCCCGTAATAGTGAAAATGACATCTTTTTGTATTTTATGGAAAAAACCCAAAGTTTCATGAAAAAGGGCCAGGGATTTAGTACAGCAGTGCAGTGCCTGCCTGGCAAGCATGAGGTCCTGAGTTTGATGCCCAGGACCCCCAAAATTTTTTCATAAAAATGTAATAGAAGAATAACAGTAGTTCATACATGGTACATTGTTATCTTCTAAGTTGTTACTCAGAGTACAAGATATGAGCATAAGAAATTCTCTAAGCAATATTGGCGCAAACCTTTCTTATCAATGAACTAAGAGAAACTAGTAGTATAATTATCTTGTATTTTTTTCCTTTTCCCTTCTGTCCTTTCCCCTTTCTCTCATCCTACTTCCTCTTTACTTTTGAAAAATTTCTCCCCATGTCACAATATCTGTTGTACATATTAGACCTTCTTTACTCTTTCAGTTTCTCGCACTAGGGAGAATGTTTACACATAATGTTTACACGTGTGAGTCTGATTTATTTCACTTAGGAGTGTGGTCTCTATTGTATCCATTTACTTATAAAAGTCTCAAGTTTATCCTTCTTAATGGCCAAGTAGTATTCCATTGTATAACAAGACCACATCTTTTTATCCATTCTTCAGTTGATGGCCATTTGTGTGGTTTACAAGATTTAGCTATGACAAATTGTGCTGCTATCAAATGGGTGCACATATATCGCTGTGGTATGCTGTTTTTATTTCTTCTGGGAAGATACGGGGGGGGGGGGAAGCTGGGTTGAATGGGACCTCTAATCCTAGCGTTTTGAGGAATCTCCACACTGATTTCTGCAGTGGTTGTACCAGTTTGCACTCCCACCAACACTGGAAAAAATGTTTCTTTTCCCCTACATCCCCACCAGCATTTGTTATTGGCTGATTTCTTGATGATAGCCATTCTTTCTGGGGTGAGGTGGAATCTCAGTGTGGTTTTAACTTGCATCTCCCAATGACCAGTGTCTAAGGGATAACCCACTCTGTAGGCTGGCGAAGATGATATTTTATTCTCTATTTTTTCACCATTCATATTAGTTCCTTGGGAATGATTCTCAGGAAGTAGAATCATTGAGTCAAAGATTATAGGTGCAGCTGGACTTGGTGGATCATGCCTGTCATTCTACCACTTCGGAGGGCTGAGGTAGGAGGATCATAAGTTTGAGCCCAACCTGGGCAATTTACCAGTTTAATGATACCCTGTCTCAAATTTCAAAAAGTTTTTTCAAAGGGGTGGGGATGTAGTTCACTGTGAAGGCCCCAGGTTCAGTTGCCCTTACTGTTGTGTGCATGTGTGTGTGTGAATGCTTTAGTACTTTTTTCTTTTTTTTTTTTTTTGAGACAGGGTCTCACGATGCAGTTCAGGCTGGTTTTGAGCTCACTTTGTAGCCCAGGCTGGTTTTAAACTTGGAAAGATCCTCCTGCCTCAGCCTCTCGAGTGCTGGGATTACAAGTGTGTGCCACCACGCCCGGCTGCTTTAGTATATTTTGAAATATATTGCCAAATAGCTTTCCCAAATTTGTGGGAGTTGGTGGTCTCTCGGTGGTCCCCCGGAGAAAACGGTGAGAGGATTTAGAATATAA